ACCACCCCCTGAACCCAACCGGGATCAGTCACCCCACACCCATTCTGGGCCAGAGTCACCCTAGACCCAGCCAAGACCAGAACCATCCCCTGAACCCAACCAGGACCAGAACCACCCCAAACCCATCTAGTGTCACCCCACTTGTCCACCTTGGTCCCATGCGTGTCCCTGGCCACCCATCGGTACCTTTGCTCTGAGGTGGAGCTGAGCTGGACGGAGACAGGGACAGGGGTCCCCTCCTTGATGGCGGTGAGGATGGTGGGCAGGGGCTCCAGCTTCTCCTGCGTGGCCTACCAGAACAAAAGAAGGACGTTTTGGGGACAATGGGTGTCCTTGGGGTAGGCGCCATCCATGAGGCCATGGACACCGTGTGGGGAGAAGGAGGTGGCCAGTCTTGCCAGCTCCTCTTGGGGACAAACGGGTGGTGGCACCTGATCCAGGCTGGAGAAGATGTCACAGAGCAGGAGGTGGAGAGTGGCGAGCTCCAGGGCCAGGTCCACGTAACCGTCGTAGGTGGCCATGTGGACGCTGCTCTCAGGGTTGGCCACGCTCTGCAGGAAGTCCGTCATGATGCTCCAGTTGTGCTCCAGGAACTCATTCATGAAGCCCATGTAGGCCTCCTTCTCGCCAAACCTGGGGACCACAATGGCCGGTTACCTGGGGTCAGGGGTCACGGCCCACCACCATGGTCATGGATCACCACCATGGTCACAAGGCCACCACCATGGTCATGGATCACCACCATGGTCACACGCCCACCACCATGGCCACGATCTGGTCACAAGGCCACCACCATGGTCACGAGCCACCACCAAGGTCACGGATCACCACCATGTTCACAAGGCCACCACCATGGCCACGAGCCACCACCATGGTCACAAGGCCACCACCATGGTCACGAGCCACCACCATGGTCACAAGGCCACCACTATGGTCATGGATCACCACCATGGTCACGGATCACCACCATGGTCACAAGGCCACCACCATGGTCATAGATCACCACCATGGTCACAAGGCCACAACCGTGGTCATGGATCACCACCAATGGTCACAAATCACCACCATGGTCATGGACCATCACCATGGTCATGGGCCACCACCAAGGTTGTGGATCACCACCATGGCCATGGATCATCACCGTGGTCAGAAGGCCACTACCATGGTCATGGGCCATCACTATGGTCGTGGACCACCACCATGATCATGGGTCACCAGCACGGTCATAGATCACCACCATGATCATGGATCATCACCAAGGTCACGGATCACCACGGTCACAGACCACCACCATGGGCGTGGATCACCACCGTGGTCACAGGCCACCACATGTGTCATGCATGGGATGTCCCCACCGCCCCATGGCTTCCCCACAGACACGTCCCTCCCCACCGCCGCTGGTGCCAAGTCCTGCCCTGACCTACGTGGTGAAGTTGGCCAAGTTCTGGATGACCTTGGCCACCAGGGTGAGAGTCCGGGCAGTGGCCTCACTGGGGTACTCCTGGACAAGGCCGAAGAGGCTTGGGGACATGATGGCGGGGCAGAGGAACCGCAGGAAGAGGGAGGCCGAGACCAGACGCTGCCCGATGGACGCCTTGCCCCGCGCCGCGCACTCCTCCTGCCACGCCGAGAAGATGTGGCCCAGCTCCACCGGGAAGGAGCTGTGGGGAGAGCCACCTCCATGGGTGCTGGGGGGGGTGGGCGGGCCTGGAGACACCCCAGCAAGACACTGTGACGTAGTGTGGGACGTGGTGTCCACCATGCTCGTGATTGTCCCCTGGGCTTGTCCCCAGGTCCTTCTTGGAGCCCAACCTGGTGTCCAACTAAGGGATGGTGCCCACCCCTGCTCCCCATCTCTGTCCTCCTTTCCTGTCCCCCATTCCTGTCCCCAAGCTTGTCCCTAGGTCCTTCCTCGTGCCCAAGCCCATGTCCATCCCAGGGATTGTGCTCATTCCTGTCCCCAAGCTTGTCCCCAGGTCGTTCCTCGTGCCCATCCCCATGTCCACCGTATGGATTGTGTCCACCTCTGTCCTCCATGTCTGTCCCCAAGCTTATCCCCAGGTCCTTCCTGGTGCCCAACCCTGTGTCCAACCAAGAGATGGTGCCCATCCCTGCTCCCCATTCCTGTCCTTCATCTGTGTCCCCCATCCTTCTCCCCAAGGCTGGCCCCAGGTCCTTCCTGGTGCCCTATCCCATGTCCAACCAAGGGATGGTGCTCATCCCTGTTCTTCATCTTTGTCCTCCATGTCTGTCCCCCATGTCTGTCACCCATCCCTGTCCCCAAGCTTGTCCCCAATTCCTTCCTTGTGCCCATTCCTGTGTCCAACCATCCCTGCTCCCCATCCCTGTCTTCCATTCCTGTCCCCAGTTTTGTCCCCAGGTCCTTCCTGGTGCCCACCCCTGTGCCCACGCCCGCGCCAGGGCTGTCTCTCACTCGCAGGACGTGGCGATGCACTGGAAGGTCTCCTCACAGACCCTCCGCAGGTTGTTCTGGTTGTCAGGGAGGTCCAGGCCGCAGCATTTGCTGGGGTCTACCTCGCAGCTGCCATCCGAGGAGCAGAGCTGGGCCACGGCCTCACCTGGGCCACCAAGAGACAACCCGTAAGCCACCACCATGGTCTGTGCCAAGGCTCCACCACATCCCCATGGATGTCCTGGATGTGTCCTCCAGCCCCGTAATGCCTGTGCCCTGCACCCCGTGGTGTCCCATTAAGACCAGTGATGTCCAGCCGTACCCAGCGTGTCCTGGAGGTACTTGCCCCCCACCAGCTTCATGTACTCGTCAATGGCTTTGGTGGCCAGCGTGTTCTCGCGGAATATCAGCGCCTCGCGGTCATCGAAGCGGTCCAGCTCGGCCACGCCGAGGTCGATGAGGAACGACTGCCAGGTGGACATGGGGAAGGGAACAAAGGGAACCCATGGCCCAAAAAAGCCTCGATGAACACACCCTGAATGTGCCAGGACCTCCTGGTGCTCCTTTGGTTTGCATTTCTCATCCCATCAGCCCCATCTCAACTCATTCATGTGGTAGTTTCCCATCCCATTCCATCCCGTCCCGTCCCATCCCATCCCGTCCCATCCCATCTTATCCTACCCCATGCCAACCCAACCCAACCCATTCCAACTCAACTCATCCACACCATTTCATCCCATTTCGTCCCATTCCATCCCAACCCAACCAAAGCCATCCACCCCATTTCATCCCATCCCATTCCAACCAAACTCAATTCAACCCAACCCAGCCACCCTATCCCATCTCAGCCCATCTTATTTCATCCCAAATCAACCCAATCTATCCACCTCCTCCCATCCCATCCCATCTACCACATCCCATCCCACCCCATTGCATCCCATCCTAATCCATCCCAACTCATCCATCCCATCCCATTCAATGCATTTCATCCCACTCCATCCAATCCCATTCCATCCCGTCTCATCCTGTCCCATGCCAACCCAACCCAACCCAACCCAACCCAATGTAATCCAACCCAACCCAACTAATCCATCCATCCCATCCCATCCCATCCCTCCCCACAGCCCCACTCCATGATGTCCCTCCCACCCCAATCACCATGCCCTCAGCACTCATCTTGCCCTCACCCACCCTCCCCACACCCCCCATGGCTCCACCTTGGCCTTCCCGGTGCCCTGCAAGACGTGGACCAAGGCTCCGGCCAGCTCCTCCTTGTGCCGCACGGCGATGGCGGGCTCCAGCCAGGCGCACAGCTTCCGGTAATGGAAGGTGACGAATTCGGCCAGCTCCTTGTAGCGCACGATGGGCAGCACCCGCACCTCCCGG